AAAAAAAAACAACAACAAAGCATTGCAGAATATTTTGACTTGCAACATAAGAGCCAAAATCAATGTAAATGACAATGGAATATTTTCCGACATGTTTGCAAGTCAAAGACCTAACCTAGTGAGTTTGTTCTTCGAACAAGTTCCTTTTTGATTTAGGAACTACTCATTTACCAGCCCTTTTCCATCTAACTGCAATGCAATAATGAGAAGATCAAGAACAAGATCGAGGCAGCCGAAACGAAATCTTTAAAAATGTAATGCAAATTTGCACTTGTTCTTAAGATCTTCCAACAACTCATTCTTACAATACACGGTAGGCTTCTTCTTGCTTCTAGGTACTTTATATAACCACTTCCAATAATGATCTGAAAAGTAGAAAAAATATCAGTATATGATGGAAAAACATTTTTTAAATAATCGTAAAAAGAATTATATTATAATTGATAAAAAATGGTTCGATTTATCTGAATTTTCTCGTCCGCGACTTTCCCAAATGAAAGTGAAAAGCGCGCGAAAATAAAAACATGGGCTAAATGCATTAAAATTTAGTTAAATGATTCTGAAAATGAAAAAAAAAAAAAAAAAAAAAGCTTTAAGATTGGAATGAATATCTGTAGTAATAAAGTAAAATCGTTACTTAGAAGTCATATTTTGCAACTTTATCTCGTAACTTGGAAAGCGCGCGAAAAAATTAACTTCGAATAATTCTCAAAATTTTCAAGAAAAATAGAGAAAGTCAAATGCAAAAAAGATTTATGAGCGAAGATGATTGATTTTCTCGCTTAAGAAATAAGTGAAATAAAAGTTTGCTCAAGTTTTCAAGCTCAAATTTTGTTACTCTGGTTGAAAGCGCGCGAAAAGAAAAATCGGAACTTTCTCGAATAAAAAAATATCCAAAACCGTAAGAAAAACTATTATAGTCTAAATAATATGATAAAAATAATAATAAAGTATAAAATAAAGAACAAAACTGTACGAAAAAACATGATTTATGAACGTTTTCACTCATGCCAGCTTTGCACGAGTTTCAATGACTTCTCGTGAATGGAAATCAAAAAAAGTATTGAAAATTCTCAATAATTCTGCTTAAATATACTTCAAGCACACATAAAAAGGTCGACAGTTTTATTTGCTTCTCTTTAAAACTGAATTGAACTTTCAAATTTAAGTTTTTCACACTTTATGCCGCCTTCAGTCAGCTAACGTGGCGTTTTGAACAAATATTTCCACGAGTTTTGGAGCTAAAATTTGTAAAACCCTACTGCAATAACGCTTGTTTTGATTAAAACTTCCAATATTTAGAACATATTGATAACGATTTTGGGAAAATCATAAAATTTTAAGCATCTTTCAAGGGGAAAGAGTAATACATACCTGATACACTGTAATTCGACTCGGTTATGAGAATGAAACTATTCGCGCCAGAACTTTTGTACTTCACTCCCACGTGACTCAGCTGTCAATCGAACTAATTCGTCCAATAGGGAGCGACTATAATTAATTGGTTTAGTGATTTGATTGGCTAATAATACGTGTTAGCATTTGAACTGTCAATCAAATTATAGTTATCCAATGGGATTAAATAGTGTTTTCTTCATTGTTATTGGTTATAAGAGATTTTTGAAAATTTTTATTTTAATCCAATCAGGTGACATAAAAATAAGTATGTCAAATCAAATGTCAATCAAACTTTTTATCCAATAAGCTTGCGGGGATATTCAAGGGCTTTCAAATGGGTTTTATTCTATTATTGAAAAGTTTTCAGAACTAGGTTTTCGCAGTTTTCGTTTTAATTTTTCACAATTATAGTCGTTAAAAATAAACCTTTTTCATTGTTAGTTAATCATGCCATTGATATCTCTCGTTATCTTTAAATTTTTGAACTAATGGATTAAAATTTGGCTTGATTCTCATGTCGGCTAATCAAAATTCTAACCGTTTATGAATATGGACACATTTGTGACCTATTGAACAAACTCCAGTATAAGGAATGCAGTTTTAACATTAATACGCACTACAAGGCAGTATAGGCCGTTTGACTGATGGCGTCAGTTTGCTATTTTGCTACCAATACCTGAATGCTTCGCGAATTTTCTTTCTCATTCAAGTCATATAAGCAATATCGATCCGCGAAAAGTAGAGCYGTGCTTTCCCATCTTTCTTGGCAAGGTTTTCTGACAAGAACATTTACTGCATATAGATCTCTATAACACATGCTCGCAAAGGACTAGAGGGTGGTGCCGTGAAGACTCAATTTACAATTGCGAAATTTCAGCATTTTCTGACAAGAAAAATAAATACCCCAGTAAATATTAGACGAGTTAAATGAAATTATTCTTTTCTGTAAAACATCTCATTATCTTTTGGCTAGCATTGCAAACCTCTTCAGCTGCACTGATACAGGCAACCCAGTGAATGCCTAAAGGGCGTTTACTGGCTTCAACGTAACTCACAGAGATAATTTAATCATCTTACATGAACTTTGTGCCGACTTTGTGAGTTTGAAAAAATGGCGTAGAAAAATAGACTTTAATTTATTAAAACTAGTTGCACTAACAGGTCCCTTCCTCTCTTTAAAACGAGCAGTTGTGTAAAAACGAGCATTAGAAATGAAAATCGAAAAGAACAACTCAACAATAGTGAGGGGGCGACGTTTCAGCCCATAATGCGTACTATAAGATAAATGGCATTAAACATTCACAGGCTGCAATAAAATGGAGGCTTTTTAGGAATYGTACGATAATTTAAATTATTTTTTTCTTGTAAAAATAGAACGTGAAACGTAATGTCGGTTTTTTTGCTTTTATGTTTGGTTTTGCGTTTCTGGGGCGCAAACGAGATGGTGGATTTTTGACTTTTGGGCTCCTCCCCTGTTCTGAAAATCCTGGCTTACTTATGTGAAATGATATTTTATTATCTTTTTTAGTTTCCATACCTGTTGAGAATTTATAAGTGTCTGGTAAAAAGGCATTCAAACACCAATCCCATTGCACGATAATTTAATCTCCATCCAATCGAATGCCCAAAACACGGTATGAACTTGGAGCAGACACGGTCAGACCAAGGTCAAGCACTGCCAGACCAATCACATTGCAAGTGAAAAAAATCCTCCAATGAAAATTATAGAAAAGCTAGAAATCACGGTCACTGTAATGCACATATGATCGGCACCGACACTTTCAAAGTCCGCTGCATCAAACAAACAAACAAACAAACAAACAAACAAACAAACAAACCAACCAACCAACAAACCAACAAACAAAAAGGTACTAAAACCAAGCCCGAAGGGGGAGGGTTAGCACATGGGTGGGTAATCAAAACATTACACATTCTCAAACTTTAGGGTTAGGGTTAGGGTTAGGGTTAGGGTTAGGGTTTAGGGTTAGGGTTTTTGTTAATGGTAAAGCCGCAGTTTCCACAATGGTTACGGTTAGGTTTAAGCACAGTCTTAAGATTGGGAGTCAACTTTAGGATTAAAGGGAAAATCACAACATGGGTATACTTAAAGAAAATTATTATTATTATTATTATTATTATTATTGTTGTTGTTGTTGTTGTTGTTGTTGTTGTTATTGTTATTATTATTAATATTGTTATCAATTAAATAGTTGGGCGCGGTCTTTTCATTCATGCGCAAGGAACTATGGGCATGCAATACCAATGTCCCGTCAGCCCTTTCGGCCTATCACATCAGCAAGAAAACATGGCGGATTCTTGAAGTTTTGGAAAGAGATCAATAAAATGGCTATTAAGATGGTAAGAAATGTTCAGAAACTTAAGAGAACCTTGGAATATTTAATTTAAAGATCTAGACTTGTCTTTACGTCTTTTTTTCGACATTTGCGGTCTGTTTTGTTGGACTTCAGAGTATTTCTTTTGGCACGTGTGCAGACGTCGTTTGTCGTTCCTGTAAAAACGTGTTTTCATACACATTTTGTGTTCTTAATATGGTTTATTTATGTTTGAACGGCTTTAAAGATTGGTATTAATTTCTTTTTCGAATATCGTTTTTCGAAAATTGCTATTTCTTTAAAAGAATTTTTAAGACTAATTTTCTTCGTGCTTTGCAGACAATATCCTCTTCTAACCTACCCCTCCCTAGAGAACATTAGTAAGTGTTGACTTTTATTACATATTTTTGGGGGAGTGTTTTGTGACAATAAATTTTTGAAAATTAAGCTTTTCGAAAACAAATATTATACAAAATAGTACGAAATATTGTTTTAAAATATTTATTAGACCTATTCCATATAGCTTTTACTCTTTGTGCTTGGTGGACTCAAATAGCAACTTATTCCAATTATACTATTGATTCTGAACAATAATGAAGATACTTTGCTCTGATTGGTTAGTTAGCATGCATGAGTGTGCATCCAAAATTTGATGGTGCGTGCTATGTAATGAAGATTTTGTTAGGAAAATGTTCTCCATAAACAAATAACTTTTTACATTTCTGCTATGTTATAAAAGCATTGGTCATTGATTTTTCGTGCTTCCATCAAGTTTTGGGTGCACTTGGCCAGTTGCTTAAGCGCTCAAGAAGCCAGCACAGCTGCACTCGGCTAGGCCTCTTGTGACTGTTACGCTTCCTTCAGGCTTTATTAGTTTTAGTTGGGAATAAATTCTCATTCCATTSCAATGATCGTTAAGGCATGTATTTAATTCCCAGTTGTGAGTGTTTGTTGAAAAATTATTGTCATCTATAACAATTGATCCCAATAATTTACCAAGTCTGGGTTTAGTTCCCCCACATTTTTTCTCTTTATTGGGAATTTCCTCTAATATTTTTGAATTAAGAATTAAAATCTTTTTCCTGCAATGACTAAACTAAAACTATTTTGGCTGYTCATTTAATAGGAACTAATCATTTTTTCGCTGGGAGGGGGGGGGGGGGTCTGGAAAAACAGGGTGGCCCCTCATAACTTTTTGATGGCCCACCCCTAGATCCCCATTTTTTCCTGGCAGCCTTTCCAACTATTTGATTTTTTTGGATGGCCTCACCTTTTATCAAGGCCTTTTTTGCCCCCCCCCYCCCCTTTGGAGCCTTAATTTTTCGGATGCCCCCCTTTCAATCCCACCAGCCCCACTCTCAGCTAAAAAATGATTGGTCCGCCCTTATGACTGACAACTGACCAGTCTGTATTCTAAGCACAGAACTGGTTAGTGGAAAAATATTCAACTTAGACTGACTTATGGAATTAGTCTAGATATACTGTAGATCAATTTAAAATCTTTTTAATTAATTTATTAATTCTCTTTTTTCTCTATTAATTTCAGGTGAGGAACAATACATGTATATGATTATAATTGAACCTACTCTGCTCTCTCAATCTTGTTGGTAACCATATTTGCTGGTATGTCATATGTATTACTCTTGCACATAAAAATAACAAACATTCTTCAGCAGAACATTACTATCTGCTATGGGAGGTTTCGTGACTGAGTGCTGGTCATCAACATTGAAACAGTTTTAATGTACCCATTAAAAATGTGCTTGATTTTCTCTGAATATCATTTGTTTGTTTGTGAAATACCCATTTGTTAACGATGCATGGAAACATTATGTCTAAAAATAGCACTTTGATGGAACCTCCCATGCTTAATTATGTACTTAAGACAACTTGTACAGGAGAGTTCTTATCTTTTTGACTTTGAACTAAATAGTTAAATTTAAGATTGTCAAGTGATGAATGACTGAACTTTAGTGAAGAAAGAGTATTATTCCAAGTACATCAAAATTGTGCACACATATAGTTTTCTACATGTAGTTTATATGAATCATTGTTTACAAATCACTTTAGCCCTTTGTGGATGATCAATGCACCAGTAGTGCAAAAGCTTGGTAAAACAAAAGACAGGGTAGAAACAATTCTATAACATAGCAATATAAGCATTGTTTGATTGGTTATATGAATACAGAGACAGTGGGAAACCAAGGGTTGTGACAGTGAATGGAACATACAAAGGGGTACTTTAGGCCACAAATAATATTTTCTATAACAATGTTATTAGTCAGATCATGGACAAGGGCTGTTGACCTGCGAGCAGCCAGTCTGCTTGCACAAAAGCTGCTTTCATRTTCTGTAACCAAAAATGTCTTCTTGTTATATCAACCAACAGTAATGGACTACTTTAAYGATTTGTTGGCATTATGGGTCGTTTAGGGAGCAAAAAGACAAAGCTTTGCTACAATAATGGCATCAATTGACGTTGACGGTTATATAATGTGTAGTTCCAGAAATTATCCACACCCATCCCCCTCAATGTTTTTTGCCCATAAGTGGCTTCAAATACAGGATTTTTGGATCAGGCATCTGGAAACTAGTCAAAATTGACTATGATAAATGACAATCTAAAGAAAATATGTGAACAAAGTTGTCAAAAGTCATGCAAACTAGGAAACTTTAGGATAACTAAGCTAAACGAAAGCATAAATTAACATGCCTGATGGAATGCAAATGAACTAACTGAATTTACAGGTGAAGTAAAAGCATCCTCTAAAGTAAAATTTTTAAAAGATAGGCAAATGTTCAAGCCATGGAAACTAAACAAATTATTACTGGGAAATATAATGTCTGTTTTTTTTTGTCTTCTCCACAACACAATGGTAAAGTTGCACAATAGTACCCAGGGGTCTTCAGGAACTTGCCCAAGAGACCTCTGCGGGCATCTGCAGTGGGGTTCACATCCATAGTCAAATCAATTATCATGTACCAGATGTCAATCAATGTCACTTTGTTGTCAAGTGATTATGAGTGGGCGGTGCTACTAGATCACTCGGCAGAGGTTTATGTCTACGCATGCTCTATTTTGTTGACTGCTGTTATTGAAGACAGCCGAACTAGAAATAATAATTTATCAATTTCGTAAACATGGATTTCAAGGCAAGAAGATACTGATGGTTTCGAAGCGATTGTTTCTAAGAATATTCAATGAGCTTCATGAGCAATAGCTTGTTTTGGTTTACTMTTCATGATTCATCTACTCGAGCAATATTTTTCTGCATGAACGAGCGAAGATCGATAAGTAGAACAGGGTTTCAAAAGTCAGAATTTATACGATAAGCGATACTGCAAAATCCTATGTATTCAGCATGACAATATAGATATTCTTATAGCCTACATTTATGTATTTATATTAACTGTTTTAGCTTCAAAGTCTACTCACAAAGGAACATGAGGTACATAGCAATATTTATTTTAAGATTCTATTTGATTTAAGAAGCAAAATAAATAATTTGCTAAGCACATTTCAGGGTTTGATCTGTGCCATTCAAAGCGTTATGATCTCCTTTAATTTTTCTTCAAAAAAATGGTGATTCATTAAAAAATATTGATAAATCATAAAATAATAAMATGTAAAGCAATTATGAGAGAGGCCTGGAGCAAATATTAGACCATATTTACGTTTTAAATGAAGCATTTTGATGTTAAAGCGAGCTATACAATGCCCCTGCAAACGTGCACGCTTATGCTTGAACAACAACCTAACTACGTATGCCAAAATCCGAACCGGAACTGGAATTGCAGTTCGAAATTGAGTTAGTTATCAGTACTACTTTATCAGTATTTTTGGAAGCTCAACCAACTAAATGTATTCCATGCAGGTTGAAACCAGGTCCTCCACTCCCCCCTTCCAGGTATCCCAGTCAACGCTGCCTACAGCCTCTAGTTAATAATTAATGATGCCTTAAATAATGTCAATTACGTCATCAGGAAGCCTAATGAATATTCATAGGGTTAGAATATGTAATTTTTTCTTTTTCTGACCCCTACCCCCTCCCCTTCCCTACCCTACCCCCTCCCTTTTTCTCAAAAATTCCAAAATCCTCTTAGGGGTGGACGTGGGGTATATATAATTTCTGGAACTTCACAATAAGACAATTTGACAGCAGATACATTTTTTTWAAATGGCCAGTTACATAACTGAGCAAATTTCTCAAAGATTGTGGGGTCGACATTTCAGCAATTTTGAGTTGTTTTTTCCCTGAGCKGCTCATTGGGCCTTTCGATTGAAGATGGCCGCTGCATCATTGAAGTGGTCTATTCTGTTGGTTGAAACCACTGAAACAACATGGCCTCCACTGTACCCTGACTTTCCATCATAACAGGAGAATCTGGTTTAAGTTGTCTGACACTAGTTTGCAGGTGCTAATGTCTAGCACTAGTTTTGTGGGTGGATACCATATAATTATAGGTATAAACTCTGGGCTTTTTCATGGGCTAAGAGTTAATAGGAAAATCTTATTTATTTCTGTTATCGTTTACATCAACTTAGAAAAAAGACACCAAATACCTGAGGTGGGCTTATAACCGGGCTTATAATGGGGATTTTATGGCATGAGAATGGTAGAGAAAGTGAGATTAATTGTCATAGAATAGAGACGTTGAGAAAATGAGGGTAGGATATGACAGTGAAAGGTACATTAAAGAGGAGTTGGTTAGGGACAGGTCATTATTTACAGGAAAGGAGGGGGGAGGCTGGTGGAAATGAGAAATGTGACATTCAATTTTTTTTGTCCCCCCTTCATAGAGAACTCAAATTTTAGTGATCCCTCCTCCCCTCGCAATAAAAAAAATTGACAAGTGTCTAACAAAAAAGGCTTTTTTTGTTCCCCCCTTCTTTGGTACACAAAAATGGTCCCCCCCTCATTTCGACCCCCCTCCCTGTAAATAATGACCGGTCCCTTAGAATGGGACACAATGATAAAAGAAGTGAGCTAAACTAGTCTTACAGCAGTAAAGAAGCAGTGATGAATATGTACAGTATGTATGATATGAAATACAAGAGCATGTGCACAAACAATATCAGGACTCCGTCATGTACTAAGATATAAAGCCACATGGAAAAATGTTGTTTAATAACTGTTTTCTTTTGCTCTTTTTTCAAAAAGTTTTTATTTCAAAACAGAGGATTTAGTAATTTTTGTGGTTACTATCTTTTGAAAGAAGCATGCAGTATTTTAACTGTCGATTTCTGAAATAGGAAGCTTTCTTGACAAAATAGGTGGTTGTGTTCTGCACTAGATAATGTTAATAGTTTTCAATTTCATCATGAAATAGCCGGCAATGAGGTGAAGTACCCAATGAGCAACCACCTTTTATTGAAACCTCTGTATTTTATCATTGTTTTGAACTTCCTAGTATTGCGTAGTTCCAGAAATTATTATCCATACTTCCCCAGCTACCCCCCCCCCCATAAAAAAAGAAATTTCAGAGGGGTGGGGGTCAGAAGAGAAAGAACAAAAGTTTGTATGGAAGAAAGTTGTTATAATATTTTATGAGCTAGTTTCACCACAAGATCTTATTTGAAAATTCATGATATTTTGTTTGCAGCTTAATTTTGCTAAAACAGATTCAAGATTCCCAGAATTTCTATTTTCTTTTATTATATTCTACAGCATCTTTTGATAATACCAATATGTAGTTTCAGATATATTATCCATAATTCCTTCCCCCAAACAGAGGATCTTTTTAAAAGACCGCCCTTCCACAGAGGATTTTTAAAAAAGACCCTCCTCCACACCCCTGGGAATTCCAATTTTCTTCCATACAAACTCTGTAATTTTGTTTTATATCTTCTGACCCCCTAACCCTCAGAAATTGTACATTTCTCCTTGGGGTGGGGGAGGCAGGGGGGAGTATGGATAATAATTTCTGGAACTACCCAATACTAGGAAGTTCAAAACAATTGAACAACTATATATTTTTGTCCTTTATTCTATAAATGGCTTGACTTATTTGTTTTTTCTTGATAGCATATTGCTTACAGCTTTTTAGGATATGGAATTAATGGCCTCATTAAAAAAAAATTACCAAAGTTTATACCGTACCATTATTTTCTTCAAAAAATCTTCTTTTCAAAACTTCAAACTAACCAACAGATTGAAATTTAGTTTCTTAGGTTTTGAGCAAAAGGGAAATATTTGACAAGCCCGAGAAAAAAAGTACAGTTTACTATGGAAACATCCGATCTGTAGTTTTGTCAGAAAAATACATATGATGGCTCTGCACACAAACGTTTATGACTCCGTCCACAAGCAGGAAGGAATGTGTTTACTTTATTCATTCAGTTACTCCATTTACTCAATTACTGTAGTAAAGCAGGAAGGGTATRTAAGAGTAAAAAGAGATATTTCAGGACACCACTGGACAGGGTGATGGCCTATACCCCACAAGGGGAGTACAGGCTTAGGAGGAGGATTGGACAGGGTGGCAATTTTACTACCAGATTTGTATCTGCTAGTTTCACACAGGGTTAGTATTACTCCTTAGACTCCTTGAAAAAAACTCCTTTTAAACATTTAAAAACTTTTAACATTTTAAAAACTCAATTGAATTTCTGCTTTGATCAT